ATTTCTTTTTCCTGTCCTTCGAGCATTCCATTATGAAGCATAAATCTTTCGATCTCTACCTGTTTTTTAGCTATTTCAATTTCCCTTTCAATAATTTCCTCTGTTTCTGCTTTCCAATATTCAAAATCATAGGGATATTCCGACATCTCTTCTTCAAATCCTAATTTATGATATTCTAATACTTGTATCTTCCATCTTCGCCAAAACTCATGCTGGATTTCTTTATACCAAATGCTATTTACCTAGCAGAGCTTATCAAGAACCTCTAATGGAAACTTTTGAATAATTATAGTAATTGTATCTGATATTTCAAGTGGGTTGTATGAATACATTTTATATAAATATATACTTTTTGGTATATTATTGTTAGAAAAAAAAGTTCAAATTAAAAATATTTCTCAGAATTAAAAAAAACGTTTATCCTAACTTCTCTGATACTAGTTCTGCTCATCATCAGGCTATTCATCTTCAACTATGAGTTTTATTTTTGGGTATAAATTTTGGAAATCAGATAATATATTCTTTCCAATCCATAAACACCCTCATATTTCTATCGTTCCCAAACTAGGAGCCAGTCCTAGAATTTTTAAAAATGTTTTTGGACTTATGCGTCTAGAACCTCTTATTGTGAGTCTTTTTAAATTAAGACACTTGACTAGAAGTGCTTCCAGATTTCATTGCTAAGTATGCATGACCCACAATTTTCAAAACTCAGCTGTTGTAAATTTGAGCATACCTTACATACTTCAGAAATGTACACATCTGGTTCTATATTTATTTTTCCAATAAATTTTAGACCTAGCACTTGTACACATGCATCTAATTTCGTTTTTTTGCTTAATGCCTTAGTGAACTTGATTCTGGATATAGCCGTTAGAACTATTCTTTGTCATAATACTCTTCTAGCAATAATGTACCATTACTTATTAACAAATAAAAGAGGGTACATTTTGCCTTCATTTTTTTTATTATATTGGAAAATTCTATCAAGAATCTCATTTGGTAAAGATATGTAATGGATGGGTGATTTTTCCGATTTTGGGAATGGAGGAAGTATTTCATCAAAATTGATCCACTTTAGATTCATTACATTTTTTATCGTCACGATACCTGATTTTACAATTTTTAGATCACTCCCCCCACCTACATATCTTTCTATCAGCTGTATAGTATTTTCATCCAAAATAATAAAGCCATCTGTGTGAATACATTTTACATGATCTCCTAGAGGTTTAATTTTATCTGATATAGTTTTACGTCCCTTTGCTATGATAAATGGTACCATATGCTGATGTGGGTCTGGTTTTCTCCCATCTGAGTATAATTGCCTCTAGAGAGATACTAATATATGCTTGGCTACTTTTCCTGTCTGTTCACCTTCATTCTTAATTGATGTAAGACAACTTGCTTATTGATTGAAAATATCATGCCCGCTCATGAGCTTACTTTGTTCAAATATTAGAGCATTAGGACTTTCAGAAGATAATTCTATATGGAGACCTAGATCTATTACTAATGATAAATCATAGTGAGTGTAATTTCCTGCAGGATTATAATGAAATCCTCTTATACATTTTTGTTCTACTGGTTGACTACTTATGAAGACTTGATAAATACCATACTTTAGGTGGTCCTTGATAGAAACAGTCCTAATATGTGTGATTGTTTTAAATTCACCTGCTTTTACTGGCCAACTTGTCATATAACCATAAGTTAAGCTATTTGGAAAAAATTCATTAAAGTCTAATTTTATCGCGATTCCTTCATATGACTCAGCCCATACTAACCTCCCATATAGGCTGAATTAATCCAATAATCTTCTTTTTGTGTTAAGTCTTCTGCTTTTCTAGGAGCTAAAGTGACATCTTGAAAGAAACGTAAACTTGTCATTGCATATGTTCCAGTTTTTCGTAAATTAATCTGCCCTCTACTCCGCCATGCGATTGCACTGGCTTCTTCATTATAACGTTTATATGCTTCCTGAAGTGTTTCTTTTAGATTAGCTTTAATTAGAAACCAGTCTCTTGATAAATCACAAAAATCATTTTCAGAGCCAATCCATTGTGTAATCCCATCATAGAACTCAATATCATTACCTTGCTTTCTTCAGAATAGAAATCTTCGAATTGCTGAATACTATCTTGTTTCTGTATTTAAAGTTTTTTGGAAAGTTAAAACGGTCTCATAGTCGCTCTTCCCATCTGATTCCACCTCCAGCTCTTCTTCTGATACTGGTAGTTCGAAAGGCTCAGGTGGTGTTGGATCTCCCCAAAAATTTTTTAATAATCGCCCTAGTGCGCTAGTTATACTACCAAGTAATCTGTTCATTTTTCCTAAGGATTAAATATGGTTACAAAATGTTTAAAATGAAAATTAATTTATTCAGATAATTAGAGTTACATATTTATTCAAAAAAAGAAACTATAGGAGGATTTTATCATTGTCCCTATATCCTACGAAGTGACACAATTTGCAATAAAGGATGTTATCACCCAAATGGATACAAAGATCACTGGAATTCTCCTAGACAATTTCTGTGTATAGAATGCGGAAAATCAACTTCCTCTATTTATAAAGCTTATAGAGACCATGCAGGCAAATATCACATTCGAAATTTTTATCAACGTCAGAAGCTTGCAAAAATTCAGGCTGATAACGGGCTAGTTTTGGGCTAGAAAAAGGTAGTATAGGGTCAGAAATCAATGGCTTGCTAAATGGAAGGAAGCTTTGTTCTCATATTTTGGAAACATGCTCCACTTCGCTCTGCAGACTACAATCATTATTTGTTCTCATAACTTGTGTATATACTCTGCTTAGCTCTGCAGACCTTGTATTCATTAATTGTAATACTATTTGCCTTATAATATTAGCATATATTTTAAGGTAGCATAGGGTCGAATGCATATTCACTGGTGTCACCCTAAAGGTTTGCCAGCTCATACTTATTCTCCTATATTGAATGTGCATTCATCGTCACTCTGCTCCTCCTCATGCTTGTTCTCTCTTGCTACCTAAACAGTATGCTATTGGAAGGTGATTTGCTTACCATGTGTTCACTTATTACCACCCATATTTGCCTCATATATAGCATACATTAAAATATGGTAGCATATGATTGAAACGATATAGCATCCATATTCACTTCATCCTAAAGAGCTCGCTCATATTTTTGCTATATCATTTCTTCTGTCGAATGCGTATTCACTGGCGTCGCCCTAAAGGGCTTGCCAGCTCATACTTATTCTCCTATATCGAATGCGCATTTGTTATTGCTCTGCTTCTCCTCAGACTTGTTTTTTCTTACTACCTAAACAGTATGCTATTGGAAGGTGATTTGATTATAATGTATGCGAAAAATTTATGTTATTCAGGTTGAAAGCCAGACGGGTTTCAGATAGGAATGTGCTAAAGTGAAAATTTATTTTTACATATAGGAAGCTAATGTTTACAGAGTGAATACCAATCAAGAAAGCAAATTGATTTCCTTAAAGTCACAAATATAATTACAATAGGTTTACGTTATATATGAAAAAATTGATACTCAAAGTGACCCTCTTAGGCTTCCCTGAGCTTTTTGTGTCAAAAAGCTCATTTCTCTACTACTAATATTCAAATTATTTCTATTAAAGACAAACTTATTTTTTGCAAGCTTTAGTTTTTTAATTTATCAGATTTTGACCATATTCTTAGCTAACTGAATAAGATCATTTATTCCTATCCAAAATATAGTAAATTTAATCAAAATATATAAACTTATAAAACTAGTTATTGTATTCATCTGAAAAGTAACAAAAAAAAAGTTTTTATTTTTTTTTTCATCTCTATATCTAACCTCCATCACTATTTTTATTATGTTTAAAATTTACAAAAAAAACTGCGCTATTCAAAATTTTTATTTATTATGCCATCTTCACTATAATTAAAAACCTATTTGTCACCGAGATTCGTCACACGGTAATTTTGGCCAAGATCAATAATGCCGGCCAAAAATTCGTGGCGATTGAATTGGTATACCCACTTTGGCCGGCATCAAAATCGGTGACAAATTATTGATTGTGGGAAGATGCTGTATTGCTTTGTGAATTGGCAGATAAATCACGTGATAAAGTTGCTTTTCTTCCTCCGTTAGTCGTCGCGCTACGTCTTCTTTATTAGATTGTTAAAAACAAAAAAAAAAAAAACTGTCGATTCAAGATCTCTTGAGTACCTAGTTTATCCTAGTAGGATTTAAACAAATACCGTCATTTGCTGTCGGAATCTCTTTTTTTTTTTTTTTTCCTAATTCAGTTATTTTTTTTTCTTTTCCTTTTTTTTTCTTTTACAGGAAATGCAGCACTCAAAATCAGAAGTTCAATCTTCATTAGCAACCGGCAAGCGGACTACAACTAACCCACTTGCCGATGTTCTTCCATCAAATTCACGGAAACGTCCAGCCCCTTCTCAATCGCCGGATAGTCCAATAGAATATGAATCTCCGGGAAGTACTACACTTCCCGCTCCACCGCTACTAAGACCAGTGGCTCCTAGATCTCCAACAAGGGGGGGTAATCGAAGTGTGCCGGCTTTTTTGAATAAACTTTATAAGTAAGATTTTGGTACTATATAATCTTTATTCCCACTTTTGGGCCTTTTTGGAAGAGCTTGGTTTTTTTTCTTTCTCTTATAGTCATGTTTATCCCTTGTGTTTACCTTATCCTCTGACAAATATTATCAATTTAGCATGGTTAATGATCCTCAGTCAAACGATTTGATCACTTGGTCTGAGGCCGGTAACTCTTTCCTTGGTAAGTCAAAAACCTTAAAATTATTTATTTTTTCTCAATCTATTAATCTTTTTTTCACACATTTGTTTTTTAATAAAGTGAAGAGACCTCAAGACTTTGCAAAAGAAGTTCTTCCTCGATTCTTCAAACATAACAATTTTAGCAGTTTTGTGAGACAGTTGAATATGTATGGGTTTCATAAAATACCACATCTTCAACAGGGTGTGCTCCAATCTGACGGACAGTCTGAACAATGGGAATTCAGCAATACGAATTTCATTCGTAATCAACCGGATCTCTTATATTATGTTACTCGTAAGAAAGGGAAGGATACTGAAAATATTAAAGAGCCAAATGAAGTTGATATAAATCATATATTGAATGAAATTGCTTCCGTTAAGAAACATCAAATGACTATAAGTGCAGATTTAAAGAATATTCAGAGGGATAATCAAATTTTATGGCAGGAGACTATGTCAGCGCGTGATAGACATCGGCGTCAACAAGAAACTATTGATAAAATCTTGCGATTCCTTGCTTCAGTGTTTTCTGCTGATAAAAAGAGAGCCATTGTACCAAAGAAACGTAGATTATTACTTGGTAATTCTGATACGGATTATGGTAATCAAGATGTTGTAGGATCATCAGAACAAAGAAATCTTTGGACCGCTGGTAATGATGGGCAAACAACCGCTTCTCCTAACTCTTCTCCTAATGAAGCCGATGCATCATGTTTGGTATTAGATATTAATAATCCTGGTAAATATACATTTTTTAAATTAATAATATTATATATATATTGATCATTTGAAAGAAAAATTCTCTAATGACTAATTTGCTTAATTATTTAGCGGCTTTATCACTTTTAGCTTCTTTAGCGATCAATGATCCATCATCTACAAATATGTCACAGTTTGATATTTTTAATTCTTTACCATCATTGTCTTCTGATGGAATTAATACCGATTTCTTAAATTCAGCTACGACCCAATTTTCTAATTTGCTTCAATCTGACCAAATTTTGAATCAAATATCACAAAGTGACCCTTCATCGCTCCCACCACCATCAACTTCCATTCCTAATAATACACTCGCTAATACATCAATAACATCAGATTCCATCAAAAATGCCCCTGTCCCAAGTGGTTTGACTTCCAACACAACAATTAACACATCTGTTCCTACATCCACTTCTTCAAATCATAATTCAAGCACTTCGAATTCTCAATATAAATTATCTACAACTACAAGTTCAATCCATCAAACTGAACCTAATACATCACCTACACCTTCAAATTTAATCAATCGAAGAGATAATATTCAACCAAATAATGGAAGTATCAGTGAACTTGAAACTCGTATCAGTGCAGTCGAATCAAACGTCGACTATCTGACTTCCTTAACTTCTCAATTAGGATTTGATCCTGAACATGAAGAGATTGCTTTAGAAGGAGTTGCTCCTACTGAGAATGATTTTTTGACATATTATGGTGCGAATTTTAATCCTACGGAAAATGAACATCAGATGTTATATAATCTCATGGGAAGCACCCATGGTGTCGATTCATCTTCGTCCTCTCATGTTTCAAATCAATATTTATTATCTGAAAATAAAATTTCTTCTAATAATGTTAATACTAGCACACCTTCAACAACTGGAACAACCAAAGCAGTCTCTACCGCATCCGCATTAGAATCAACTACCACGATGACACAGTATGTCCCGCCTATTCAATTTCCCCAACAATATCTTCAACAAAGGACATATTTAGATGATCAAGTTGACGAGTTTGCTGATCGAGCTTCAAAGAGAATGAAAGTTACTGTGGAAGGAAAAGATGAAGAAAACGAATTAATCATTGATGATTTACTAGCTAATTTAGATGATAATGATAATCCTTTATTGGAGTTCCATGAGTAATATAATAATAATCTTATCCTTTTTTTTTATTCGGTTTTTTTTAAAAGTTTATCCGCTATTTTGCTTGTTAAATTATGAAACATTTTTCCTTCAAAAAAAAAAAAAGTCACACATATATATATATATACACAAAAAATGGGTTTATTAATTTTTTTAATCAGTTTGTTTTAATAAATTTTTGATTTAGTTTATTATTATTGTTATTATTTTGAATTTCTGACTTCCATTCTTTCAGTTATTTTATTTATTTTATGTGGACTGATATTTATTAGAACTTAATTATAATGGCGGATTTTTTTTTTTTTGCGCAAAGAATTTAATTGTATTTTGTGATTAAAATATCGATTAATAAGCCTTTGTATTATATTAAATGAAAAAATATAAACAATCTTTATATCATAGAATAAAAATAAATGAGTTATTAATATAGATTATGACGTTTATTATAATTATAAGCTGACGTAAATAAAGTAATTAAAGTAATTGATATAAAGAATAATCTTTGTTGAACAAGTTCAACTTTATGAACCATGAGGCGACCAGATATGAAATACTGTCCTACATGGTATAATAAATATTAAAATCTTTATTATAAGTAAAAAAGGGTCAAGAGAAGATAACAAAATTATTTTTCTATTAAATTAGTCGTAACCTCATGTTCGAAATAGAAGATACTAATGCTTCAAAACTTATGTTGAAGTGTCGTACATGTGATTATATAGAAGAATCCGAAAAAAAAGATCATTTAGTTGATTTTACGCGTAAAACAAAGTAAGAATTGTTTTCGGATAATTTTTTTATTCAATGTTTAAATTTAAAAAAAAAAAAAATTCTATTGATTGTTAGCTATTATCGTGATGATCAATTTCATCCAAGGTTATTTCAAGACGCATCCCTCAGAAGATGTTTTATTAATTGTAATATATGTGATAAAAAAACGTGCGCTCTTGAATGGCATTCGCATCGTAAAGAATCAATGAACGTGTAAGTTAAATTTTAGAATCGATTTACTATTATACAGTATACAACATTAATCAATATCGATTGTCTTCAGGGAATATTGGTGCGAAGGATGTGAGCAGCAACAACAATCACCTCATAAAAATGTAGGTATGATATATGATACTGAGAGACCGGACGCGCAAATCGATCAAGAGGGATATTATACTGATGATGAAAGAAATGAGTTGGATACCGTCGGGCAAGAAGATTTTTAATGGTGTCAATGATTTTAATAGAAAATCATCTAAATAATATGTATGATATTGCATGATTAAAACCAATGTTAAAATCAATTATAAGCGAAAGGGAATCGACACGTTTATCCAAATTAGAAGTAGCGAATTTTGATGCTGTGCACACCCATGTCACAGGCCTTTGCAGGGTGTGGACCCCCGCGCCCACGCCCAAAAAGTCAAGCCGCACTCCGCTAAGAACAGCCCAAAAAAACTCGCCCAATGGTATCGTTTATCGTTTGATGATGTATTATTTTCAAGCGAGACCAATTCGTCATCATTCCGACTGAATATTTTTTTTTCTCGATTTATAGTGTTCATATACACACGATCCCCGTTTTTCGATTTTTTACAACTATGTGCCGTATGTAAATACGCACGAATCTACCTTTAATAGTACGAGAAAATTTCCTTTGTAGAAGATATTTCCTTCTCGTGCGTTCATATCCCTGATATATGTATTATTCGACTATTTTGTAAATAAACTTAATAAATATATAATATAACGATTGTAATAGAATTTTTTTCTTTTTTTAACCGACTAATGGTGTATATTCTTCGTAGACTGTGTCCTGCGTAAAATTTCGTCTGCGGTCGTATTTGTTCACGTTAATACCTTATAGTTACTAGAAAATTTGTTCTAATACGCTTTTTTCGCGCTTTTATTTCTTTTATTTCACACATTTACTTGTATCTTCTCCCTTTATTTTATAATTAACCTTTATTGGTGTTTATTTACACTTTATCTATTGCATTTGTACCTTATTTTATAACGCGGTGTTCATTATTTGATAAACTCGCGTTCCATTAAATATTATTTTTTTCGTTTGTATAGTTTTTTAAAGATACATTGGTGGTTTGTTAGTTTACCCCAAAAAGTAATTATAATTTGATACTTCTTCCTCTTTTTAAATTTTAAAGAGGACGAGAAATTTTTTTATTTTAAAAAAATTTCTTTTTGTAAATAATGACAATCAAAGGCAGACAACTTTTCGTTGGCAACGTGAGTATATTTTTAATTTTAGTGATGATTGGAATTTGGAAGTTGAATCAAATTTTTTTTTTTTTTTACAGTATTGAGCTTACAATAATATCTTAATCTATTTTATATAATTAAATTTTTTTTTTTAAAAAAAAAATTGCCTTGATAAAAATTTCATATTTCGCAAATAAAAAAGCTTCCATTTATAGGTTAGTGAAAAAAAAAAACAAAAAACGCGAATGATGTACTTAAAGGAAACTTTATGAAATTTATTTTGATTGGTTATCATAATTTGAAATTCATATTAATAATTACGTTTATTTTTACGCTTGAAATAGTCGGTTGGCAAGATTTAAAGGTTAATAAATTTATTTATTTATTTGATTGTTTATTTATTTATCTTTTTTGTAACAAATAGTAATTAATTAAACTTTATGAATTAATTTTGCTAGGATTTATTTAGAAAGGCTGGTAATGTGCAACGTGCAAATATCATGCAAAGTCGCGATGGTCGGTCTAAAGGACATGGCATTGTGCTCTATGCTACAGTTGCAGACGCACAAAAAGCCATATGTAAGATAGTCCAAAATTACATTTTAATAAATGGATTATGTTTATTATGCTTAAAATCGTAATAAGGAAGAATTTTCTCAATATTAATACTATGCCTCTGTAATTGTTTTGTGATAAAACAGCAGAATTTGATGGATATGAATGGCATAGTAGAAAGTTAGAAGTTAGAGAGGTAAATGAATTGTATTAATTTTTAATCGACAATTTTTTTTTTTTGATTAATTGATTAATTAATAAATGAAAATCCTATGTAATAGGATCGTATTGCAAATGATTACCCTCCACCTCCACCACGTACGGAGTGTGCCAATAATATTGATCAAACTGAGGTATTTAATAAGTAATCCAGATTTTTTTTTGTTTGCTTGAAAAAAAAAAAATTAAATTCGTAATTCTTAGTCGGAAAACGATATAATCACTTCAACTAATGGCTTATCGGTATCAGTGAATTCAAATGATATCAATGCCACCTCATCATCAACACAAACTACTACATCACCGGTAGATTATTCAATTACAAAAATTACAAATAATGAAATTCTTAACATGAATGGCACAAATATTAACGGGATTACGAATGGAACAACATGTAATGAGGAATATACGAAAAATAATCCCTCTACAGCGGCTATTAATTCTTCGACCTTACAAAGACAATTATTTGTTGGAAATGTAAGTGATAAAGTCCGAATCATCAATTTGGACCGTTACACCTAATCTTATATGATATATTCCTCATAGCTACCATTTCGTGTGAGATGGCAAGATTTGAAGGATCTATTTAGAAAAGCCGGGACGGTCATACGCGCAGATGTTGCGCTAGGATATGATAATAGATCAAAAGGTCATGGGACCGTGTTATTTACAACTCTTGAAGAAGCAAAAAACGCGATCGGTCAGAATTATTATTTTTTTTTTTTTTAAAAATTAAGATAATAATAATATTTACACAATTATCGTAAATGACTTTCATTTATTCAGCTATGTTTAATCAAAAACCTTGGCAAGGTAGAATCTTGGAGGTACGAGAGGATCGAGGATATGTTGATCCAAATGTTCAAAATAACGTTAATGGTAATGGACATTATCACCATCATCACCATCATCACACACAAGACTATTCACGTCGGATGGTTGATCTCGCGACGAATCATAATCACGCCCCAACCCCATATGGGCCGGGTCATGTGATAGGACTTGAAGGCCTTTTCTATGGAGTAAGTAAAATTCGCTATTTTTGTTTAAAAGTAATCAAGGTTATTTACCTTTTTTTTATTATTATTATTTTAGCCCGCTAGAATTCAGGCACCTCAGCAAAATTATGCTGGGAAACTACTTTTCGTTGGAAATGTAAGATCTTGGATTTAGGATTTTCGTCATTTTGTATGTCATATTAGACATGATAATTTATTATATTCAAATATATAGCTACCATTTAATTGTCAATGGCAAGATCTGAAAGATCTCTTCCGTAATGCTGGAAATATTATCAGGGCTGATGTTTCAACTAATTATGACGGACGAAGTAGAGGTTTTGGTACGGTGTTGTTCGCGACACCTGAGGATGCTAGGAATGCTGTTGGTAAAGAAAATGCATTTTTTTTTTTGAATAATTTATTTTTTGAAATAATGTTGAATCGATTTTTTTCCAACGATAATAAATTAGGGATGTATAATGGCTATGAATTTCAAGGAAGGACTTTACGTGTCCACTTTGATAAATTTTCTTTTCCACCTTTGCCTCCGCATCATCATCATAATCCACCTCCGCATCCTGCACATTTGACCGTACATCCACATCATAGACCGCCTCCTCCACTTATGTCGAATATTCATAATTTTCATTTGGGTCATCCACCACCAATTCCTCATCATCATTTCATTCCTCCTACTCACATGGGACCATTTTCACCACCTTTAACAACACCATCATTAACTAGTCCTACACCATTTCCAACTTCTTATAATCCGTTCGCACATTTAAATAACCTACCAAATCCGAATACAAATGCCGCTTCTTCATTTCAACCTATTCCAATTGTTTCTTCAGTCGGTTCTGTTGTTCATGGGATTGGAGCTAATTCACTGCAAAACTTCAATCAGTCATCACAAAATGTTTCTCAAGATCAACCAATTGCGACACCAACAACGCAATTTTCCAGTTTTGGTCCAATTGGGAAAACTCAACATTCACCCCAAATATCATCAACAATTTCGAATTTTAGTGCATTAGGAACCTTTCCAGCACCTTCTTCAAATACGACAAATGGAATTGCCAATAATAATGGAATTAATGGGACTACAGATGTTACTAATAATAATTATGGCACTGGCAATAATCCAATACATAATTTAACATCAAATTTTGGAAATATTCATCTTAGTCCAACCCCACAACAATTATATTTCCATCACCATCACATTCCTCACCATCGTCCACCAGTGATTCCAACAGCTTATCACCATCATCCTCCTCCTCAGGTAGCTGCAGTTGTAGCAGCAGCTCATCATCATCAACAGCAACAACATCAACATTCTCATAACCATCATCAGCATCAACATCATCCTGGTGCTATCGGTAGTGGACTTGTTGGAATAAATGCACATATACACAATCAAGCAAATGGAATTTCTGACTCTACAGGTTCCATAACATCGGCTGCATCTAACGGATTAGGTAGCGTTGTTCATCCAACGTCGTCCTCTTCTAATGTAGCCAAAGAAACTGATAATGGTAGTAAAAATGGTATTATAGGTTCAAGTTCTACCACGACTGAAGTAACAAATAACTCGGTGAATAACGATAATAATTCACCAAATTCTGTTCCTACTTCAATGATTGTCCCGTCTCAAGGTTTATGGGATAAAAGTACCCCGGCCATGTTATCTACTACGACAGTTTCAAATGGATCTAATGGAAATGTTAACTCAGGTAATATTATGAGCATAGGGATGACATCATCCCTGACTGGAATGAGCGGACTTGATAGTCCAGTCTCTCCGATGGTAATACCGACTCAATCTGTCTTTGTAAGGAATATGTAAAAAAAATTTTTTTTTGGTCCGAGAAACGGGATGGTTGATAAAATGTTTAGAGAGATATATATTGGAAATTATATAAGTAGGGAATTAGAATTTAGGGATTATTTGGTATTATATGATCATGATCGTATGAAGGTGTAGTTTCTAGAATTATATACATGGGATTGATGGGATTGGGGAGTTGAACAATTTTTTGTTTAATATTTTTTTTTATTATTACATACAATTATACAATATTACAATTATAAAAAAAAATTTTTTTTTCCTTTTTTTACAAACATTTTTTAAAAAATGAACTTTTTTAGCCTTAAACAAAAATTCAATTACAATATCAAAAAAAGAAAAAATTTTATATAACTGTTACAGTAAATGAAAAATACAAAAATTACCAATATGCATTAAATTTTAAAAATAGATTAGACACGTATGAAAAATTTCTTTTGATTTGGATAATTTTAATGTATTGCAAAAAAATATATATATAAAAATACTTTTTATAAAAAAATAATCTTTTACACGTGGGATTATTGCATATGATAGTTGATCAACTTTTAGTTTTTTTTCCGTCTTATTTTAAAATTATCATTCTTTCAAAATATATTTATTCTTCATTGTTCTCTAAGAATTGCCTTCTTGGCTCAGTTGGCAGAGCGTCTGCCTAGTAAGCAGAAGGTCGCCAGTTCGATTCTGGCAGAAGGCATTTCGTAATTTTTCTTCTTTTTTTTTTTTTTTTTATATAGACACAAATTTACGCCATTTGACACTAATCCACTTTAAATCTAACAAAAAAAAAAAATGAAAGGCACAAACTACCAAATGTTTTATAACAAGAAAAACGACTTGCTGAGTGCCAAGTTTATAACGTTGGTCCTTATAATATCACTATGCGCTTTATTTTTATTTACTTTATCAAGAGATATTTTCTCAGCCAATAAAATCGTTTTGGAACCTCCAAGTGCTAATTATAGTTTACTTATTAAACTTGAAGATTCTCTTTCTCAAAAGAATATCATTTTCATTGGTGATGTTCATGGAGTGTTCGATGAACTTTCGGAGTTAATAAAGATAATAGATTATGATCCTTTAAAAGATCATCTGATTTTTGTAGGTGATTTGGTAGCAAAAGGACCAGAATCTATAAAAGTTATTAAGTTGATTCGTTCTTTGGGGGCTAGTTGCGTACGTGGAAATCATGATGATAAAGTTTTGAGATGGAAGAGTTTATTAGATTCTTTAGATTCACAAGGAATCGGATTAGATGCATATATATTGCGGAACAATCTACCTAAAGACATGCCTGTAAAATCCGAGCACAAATTAATAGCAGAGTAAGAATATGTATTCTATTTTATCGGGAAAAAAACTTTGTATTGAACTTTGATTATATACTAAAGTGATTATCATACTTTCCACCCTATAAGGCAACTCGACTCTGAACTTTATGAATACCTTCTTTCTTGTCCTATTATTCTGAATATTCCAGAACATGATTTATATGTAGTTCACGCTGGTTTATTACCAGATACTCCATTATTAGGACAAGATCCTTTCGATTTAATGAATATGGTAAATACACGCTAATAATGAGTATTTTTTTTTTTTTTTCCAATATATTGTCTCATTTTTATGGTTCTGACGTATTCTTTTATTATTATCATTATTATTATTCAGCGTAATATCAAGGATAATGGTAAATCTACAAAGAACAAAAAGGAAGGTCATGCTTGGACTAAATATTGGAATGAAGCGCAAGAGAGATCATCATCTCCTAAAATGGTCATTTATGGTCATGACGCTTCGCGAGGATTGAAAATAAAACCTTACAGTTTTGGACTTGATTCTAGATGCGTTTATGGTGGAGAATTAAGTGCATTGAGATGGAATAAAAAAGAGATCATTAGCGTTAAATGTAAACAATATGCTGATTAAATAATTTATAATTACTACTCAGATTAGTTGTATTAACATAAATTCCCTCCTCATTAGAAATTAGTCGCATTATTTATATTAACTTATACATTAAACTGTATTATTTATTATAACACGTGAATCAAGTTCTTATTAGAGAATTAATTTAAAATCAAATATTTTTGTATTACATTATTTTATGCAGTTTTGATTTTTTTTTCACTATAAATTTTATGTTTTGAAAATTAACAAGTATCTATTTAATTTATTTTGTAAATTATCATTATCACAATTTATTTTTAGTTATAGATACTTTTCATGAATGCTTTGTAATAAAAAGAGATGAAATTTCAAAAATTAAAATTTTACTTTCTATATTAAATATGATTTTATTGTAAACTTTATGAATCTTTTTTTTTTTTGTAATATAAATTGAATAAGGTTTTTATAAATTTTAATAACAATTTCAACCAAACTTGTTGAATCTTATTTCATAAAATCTTACTTGAAATTTGTTTAGGATAATATTAAAGATAATTATTTATTTTATTTTACAAATGTTTAGCATCAGTTTATAAATTTTAAATTAAAAATTATATATACAAGTTAATAAGTTTTATTACTAATAATCATATTATAACTTATATATTTTTATTAATAATTTGTACATATTTTATATTATATAATATGTATACATCAGGAATGATGATTTTATGCAAATTGCATAAAATAGCATAAATTGCATAATAAATTTAGTAAAACATAATTAACTTAATTTACTGTAAAATGTCACATAAAAGTTATTATTATTATTAAGTAAATACTGCATAATGATTAACATTAATAATCTTTTATATATATAGTTTAAATCAAATTTTTTTTTAAAAGTAATCTAAGTAATCTAAGATGAGAAAGAATCAAGAAAAAGTAACAGTATTTACTTGACAAAAATAATATTCTAACTAAAGATGGTTTCTATAATTGTTTTTAAATTTTTTAACTAGTTGCAACTTAAGTTGTAACACTTTGAGTTGCAACTATTTATGAATTTTTATATTAAAATAAATTTACAAAAAGTTACAATCAAGTTGCAATTCAAATTGCAACTTACCTGCAACTTCTTAATTATGATGCCCATTTTTAATTCTAACGAATTTTATTTTGACAATAGAATACTTTTTTTGTATTTTTTTTAATTATTTCATTGAATAAAATTGTAAATCAATAATAGATAATCATGTAATAGTAAAACACATTTAATAAACAAAAAACTTTATGAAAACAAAAGATATGAAAATTATCAATAAATCCTTTAAGCTTTACTTGTAATAAATGAAAAAATATGAAGTAATTGAAGATTTAATTAAAGTATTTGCTGATACTGATATCCCTTTAGAAAAAAATCAACAACTTATTACTATGTTTTAAAAAATATTTGCATAAAGAAGGAGCTATTTTATAAGCTATCCCTTAAATGATAATGATTTTTATTCAAATTTAGTCATGATTTTCAATCAATTATTATGCAAAATCCTATATAAAAAAACTTACAATTTTTTTTAATTTTTAGTTAAATATGTTATAAAATTTATTATAAATCTATTATTTTTAAATAAAATTTCATTTTTAATAATTAAAATATTAAACATATACAAAATTTCAACTTTAAATTTATAAATAAATAATATTTAAATATATAAATAAATGTTTTAAATATAAATTTATATATTTTGTAAAGTTTTTTTAA